GCAAGTGCGACTTTGATTTTTCGTCTCTTCTTCTCCGCAAGTAAATGGATCATTAGGTAACAATGTATGCAGCCTAAAAAATCAACCTAACCCACCAACCCATATGAGCTTACTCAAAACCTTGATCACACACATGACTTAGTTGATGCTGATGCAGATATCAAATCATATATATCCATCGTTTTAGCTCATGCTTTACGCTTAATCTAATCTCTCAAGTATGAACTAGACGTACGTCGTGGCATGGTGACCAAATAATTAAACCATATAAACTTTGTCTTAACCACAACCACCTCAAATTTCCTTGGACGATGATTTTATGCTGATGCAGCTATCAAACCATATAAGCTATCTTTTAATGATGATTTATGTGGTCTCGCTCTGTAATAATTTGATGTGGTTTCGTTCTTCCACGATGATCTATGTGGTCACCGGTATATGACTGTTGTGGTCACTGATATAAGACTGTTGCGTCTATAATTTTTGTGAAATACCACCATTGTATCACTTCTTGTAAAAAAAACATCACCACCTCGAAGTTTCCTTGGACCAAACAATTAAACTATATATAATCTAATTTAAATAATTAATCTTAGCAGTACTTATATGTTTTGATTATATTTTTCATTTTTTAGACCATTTTAACTTTGTGCGTGTGGATTTTATTGTCATTTGCCAATCTGTCAACTAATAGTTTTCGTGTAGGTTTCCCCTTATTCCAGAAACTGCAAAATACCATCTAACATTAACATGAATCAGACGCTAATTAATATGATACAGTTTATTGCATTTTTTTATATTTAGTAGAAGGTTGCGTGCGTACGGATACGATAAAATGCAGAAAATACGTAACTAATCTGTAATTAAGCTTTACGTGTTTTTATGTTCATCATATCATACACACATCATTTGGTCGTTAAAATTGAGAAAAAATTATTGCCCTTCCCTAAAAGCTTCTTGTAAATCCATGGAGGAATTCGAACAAATTACTATAATATTAGTTCTGTCTATGCTTTTAAAAAGATAATCTTACCTACAACCCATGATATATTAATTGTGTCAACAACAACCTCGAGTGTCAAAAACTTTGATTTGAAGACTAGTACGTATTTCTCACCTAGTTGTAAATTCTACTATACGCATACTTTAAGTATTTTTGAAAAAATATGTATGCATCCTGTATATTTATCAAAATTCAGGTATTAATTTCGCACATTTAATTTTACTAATAAAATTTAGGCATTATACAATATTTTTAACATAATATTTTCTTCTAAATATAAAAGTATTCAAACTTTATATTGTCGAATTTTTACCACAAAAAAAAATTATGAATTTTCACATAGGTAATTTCATTTAAAATATCCATTCCGTATTTCTTTTAATAGAATCAATATCATTCAATCAACTTAATTATACAAACTAGACATTATATTTAGTCCATTGTGAGATTTATCCCACTATCTCACTTCCTTATTGTAGATAATATCGTTTGTTAAACTACATACGAGTCTTGAAACAGCATGTCCTAAATAATATTAAGATGATTCTCAAATCAAATCAGGGAACATGTGAAATACTTGTTTCCTGCAACTGTGAGATATGCATGCGAAAATCATCCACGATCAACTAGGAAGGGTTTGGAATGCTCCTCTTCTAGAACAAGGGATTTGAAAATGGTGATGTTTTACCTGTAGTTCGAAGAAAGTCATAATATTGTATCAGAAATTCTACATATTTGTGGGGTTCACCTAAAAGCGCAAACAAAGAAAGAAAGCAAAGACCAAAATGCTTTTGAATTAACAAATTCAAAAATTATTTATCTAGAAGGATTACGCGTTCTTATTAAAAAGAAATAAAATATCATCAATTTTGATTAAGAAACCCTAATGTGGGCTCTGCATGTTTGAAAACTAGCCCCACGTGGTGGCTTTTTCTCCCAGCCTTGCCCCCTTGGCTTATGAGTCAATAGATGTCATTGCCTCTTCAATTATACAACTTCATCACTACTCCAAGAAAACCAACTCTCAAATTTTCAATCATCTCACCAATGAATGCATATCATATCCAATTTGTGTCGTTTTCTGCCAAAGAACAATTTGTAAACCAATTGAATAATGAATAAAATGATCAAAATATATATTTTTTTTAACAAACGATAGAATAATTACAGATTTCGTTCATCTATTAATAAGAGGAAGGAGAACAGAAAGCAAAATGAGTGTTCAATTCATAACTTCTCATGCATTTACTTGCTGTAAGAAAATAAAATTCTTAATGGTACATCTAAAACCCGTAATGAAATATCCCAAACTTAGGAATTGGATCAACTAGAAGAGGGGTCTTATGTTCGATTGTTGTATATCCCAAATTAGGTATGTATCTCTAAATACCGCGTGTTACACGGTCTAGTAGTTTTTTTTTTACTTGTAAGTGAGAGATCTTAATTAGGTTCGATTGTCGCCAAATGCGAATTTAATCACATTATTGTTAGCCTATTGTGAAGTTAAATACACTTCATTTCTTTTAGTGTAGATAATATCGTTTGTCAAAAAAAAAAAAAATACCGTGTATTAGGAATATTCATATTTGTCTCTTTAATTAGTTGACTTGCCATGAACATCATCTAGAAAGATGGCTGGCTGATTGGACTGTAGTTCAATTTCAACGTTATTTCATTAACAGCGACAAAACCAAAACAAGAGACAAGATATTTTTGGGAAAGGAAGGAGGCTGCAACATCATCATCATCATACGTTTGTTTAATCATCTTGTTCTTCATAAAACCATATTTCTTGGTGCCGGCAAAGTTTGTTGCAAGCCCCCATAAACTATTTCACTGCATGTATATTGCACGAAAGCATTTCATAAATTAATCTGAGGCTGGCGGGCCATTGATGCTTGACGTGTTTCGAAAGAAAAGGGCAGAAAAAGAGAAGATTTCAGGGAAACCTAGATTTTTTTTCTATTAGTAGGCATATGAACATATTAAATCTTCCATCTTTCTCGTATATGCTGACAAGTGTAGTTCACATCCACCCATCCCTAATAAAACAGAAAAAAAAAATTGAGTACAAGTGACAACTCTTTCGTATGCAGGAGACCTCTCATTCAAATGTATCAAATTTCGTATGCGTGGGAACTGTCGTATACCAGAATTAATGTACACATCAAAGGACTAAAACCAATACATAATCCAACGTCAAGTTTTAATGTAATTTCAATCTTTTTCGACATTAAGGTTCAAAAACCCATATAATTAAACGCACATATATAGTGATCATTTAATACTATGATATTATGTTTGATTCTTACCAAGATGAATTGCTAGTACATTGTGTGGCTAACCCCACCATCTCATTTTTAGTGTAGATACTATCGTTTGTTAAAAATAAAAAAAAATAAAAAATCATCTCCACCTCTTTTTTTTTCTTTTTCTTTTTCATCTTTTCACTTTCTTTCCTTTTTTCAAGTTGGTAGATCCCATCTGATTTAAAGCCCATTTGAAATGCTTGGAGGATTTGCATAGACATTCATGTCTTCCATTTCCAGAATTTGTCCAGTGTGAACCCACCAACTGACAATGTCACGCTCCATTTCATAATTAAACAATGACCCCTATCACCAACCTTACAAGTTACTAATATATGCCAAAAGCCAAACTAACCATACACCAATTTTACCACTTTTAACTTTACTAATACTCGTCAATGTGAATTAAGTCCGTTTATTTTAATTTAACTAAAGATAATACTCACATAATACTCGTAAATATGGATTATATCAATTAATTAACTTATCTAATACTCATAGTTATAAGTTTAAGTCAATTAATTAGTACAGTGTGCTCGCACAACTCCCGCTATTTGAATTTAAATACAAAATTGTATCTTGTAAAACAAAACCATAGGTAATACTCCAAAGCAGTTAAAACAACCCATCACTCAAAATACTTAGGTACCAAAATCGAAATGTTATCATTTAACAAAGATTGAGATCTCTTCCAATATTACAAAAAAAAAAAATATCTGCAAATCAAGAACTAATTGTTTTTTTTGGAATCTGAGTTACAACATAGAAAACCCAAAATTCTCATTTTTTTATCAACCAAAGAAAGAAAAGAAAAAAAAACTATACAAGATCATCTCATTTGTAACTCAATTCTTATTTTTCTTTTATCCAACTATCATGTATTTACACATTTACAAACTCTGCGTTAGAATCATAGGCACTACATTCACCACAAGAGTTTGATTCTTTCGCAACAAAATCGAGAGTTCGATTTTCATACTCCTCTTCTCAATTTTTCTTTTCTTTGAAGTAAAAAGAAAGTAAAACACCTTTGAATTTGCAGTGCTACAATTCAAAGCCAAGATTAGTGTGAGAATAATCACCGTAAAAATCAGGGATCCCAGTAGCGGCCCAAAGCCTCTCATTGAAATCGCCCTGCATATCCTCCGATATGAACGGCGTACGACACAGTGGGCACGTCTTCTGGTCGTACCCGACCCACCGGTCCACGCACCCTTGTGGAAGACGTGACGACAATTCGTGAGCCGTCGTATCTCGTCCTCGCCCTCGAACTCGTACAGGCACACGGCACATGACTCCGGCGGGTCCACCAGGTCCGAGAATTTTGCCAGCGGCAGGATTTCCCGGATCAGAACCGCGGAGACGGAGTAGAGCTCCGGGAATCGGGCCGGCGGGTCGGACCAGGCATTGTCCTGTTCGATGAAATATTGGAGACCCAGCAGGGAGAAGAAGGCTGAGATGAGTTTTCGGATTAGACACAGCAGAGAGAGTGTTTGGATGAAGAGCTCTGGAAGCAGAAACTCTGTGTACCCAACTGGGAACCCCATTAAAAAGCTTCGAACTTTGAGGTTTTGGGTTGTGATTAGGTTATGGAGTTTGGAGATATTAAATGGGTTTTTGTTTAGTTTCTCTGTGTTCTCTAGAGAGAGAAAGAGAGAGGAAGGGAGGGGAAGAGTGAGAGAGGGGGCATGGAGAGTGGAGGAGGATGGCTTATATGGCCATGGATGAGGATTGAGAGAGTTGACGATGTGTATAATGGCATTAATGCCCTTCAACACGCTACCAAAGTGTATTGTATTCACATTTATAAGGGCCTGTTTTGTACGTATAGTATACGTTAAAATAGATTTTTGGCCTTTTATTTTCACCTCTCTTTAATTAATCCATTTCTCATTAGGGTGAAAAAAATGGAACTGGAGTTGTTTACATGAGATGAAGAAATATGAAAACTAAAACATTTGGGTTTATATAATCTACTAGTATTTTTGCACGTACATGCGACTGATCTTTTTTAAGTAAATAATTTTCAATAAATAATATTTCAGTTATGTATAGGTGCCCAAGAAATTCTTTTTCTTTTTGATCCCAAGGAATCCTATTTAGAAATATAACTTCATTAAGAAAAAATAAGTCAATACATTATTTTCTTTTAGCTACACCTCAATTAAGTAATAACCTCCTTAAAGATAGAAAATTAGTTTGGTTGCAACTGTATAACTTTATAGAGGTTTTATTGTACTATAATATATCCATCCTATATTTTGTTTTGTTTAATTCTACTCTCCCAAATAGTGGGACCAACAACTTCTTTGTGTTTTTCACAGTTCTAAAAATTTCCGCCTAACGTCGCTTAGTTCCTCGCTTAGGCGCTAAGTGGTTAGCTACCGTCCCGATTAATCCCTAAGCATTTCCAAATTATGAAATGGCTTCTGGATTGGCTTAGGCATTCACCTAGCCCACTTAGGCGCCCGCCTAGACCGGCCTAGGTACCCGCCTAGGTCACAACTCCACTTTGACAGAAAATTAATAACTTTCATTTTGCATTTTAGACTTTTTCTATAATTTGTTAGAGACTTGTTGAATACTTGGATGAATACTTATTATATGCTTGTTCCCCATGTTTTCAATATGTTCTAATACTTTATAATCTACATATCATTTTATTTGCAATTTATGTGTTACGTATTTTTTAAGAATAAATGGGCACTTATTTATACAATATATAATAAATTTACTTAAATCCGTCTAGGCCCTGCCTAACCGCCTAGGCGTTAGGCCTTGTCCTGCCATCCAACTAGCGCCTAACGTCTTTTAAAACCTTGGTGTTTAGGCAAAAAAAAAAAAAAAAAAAAAAAAACCAAAAACAAAAACAAAATAAAAGTTGTCTTTAAAGTTAATTTTCTAGTGAATTGAATTAGTCGAGTTCTATATCAACAATGTGCTATTATAATTTATATTAGAAAGATTAAATATCATACTTATAGAACCTCTAAGGACCATTTTGGAATTGCTGTGCTTATTTATTTATTTATTTATTATTTTTTAAATTGCTTTTGCTTTACTTTAAGAATAATCAGCTGCAAATTGAGCGTTTAATAAACTATATTTTTAAAACTGTTGTGAGTACGAAAAGCAATGTAATAGCATTTGGTAAATTTTAGTGTAACAAATATAATTGTATAAGGACAAAAAGGGACATGATAGTCTAGGTGATGACTTCGATAATGGTGGCAAGGACAATAGTTGTGATGGTGGTGGTGCCAATAAAGGGTATGGTGGTTGTGTTGCATAGGTAATAATGGTGGTACGGACAACAACGATGTTGATGGTGGCAATGGTGGCGGTTGTGTTTTTGGTGGTGATGGTGGTGGGGTTGGCAACGTTAGCAACGATAGTAGTGGCAATTGTGGTTGTAGTGGTAGTGGTGGCGAGTATGGTTGTGGTGGTGGTTGTAATGGTGGTGGTGGCAACAATGGTAGTGGTAATGACAATGGTGGTGTAAGAGGTTAGGGTTTGTAGTCATAGGTGGTGGTGGTCACTTTGCTTTATGATTTACACACGAGTCACAAATCTTGCTGTTTGAAGGAGGCAGTTCCATGAAATTTATTCTTTAGTGGTTATTTCTCGTCACTTGTAAGACCATCTCCAGTCATACTCTCTATTTTCAAATGAAATTTTAGCTAAAAAAAAATAGAAAGTAATTTTAGGAGCTCCCTATAAAAAAAATTTCAACCATTCTCTCTAATTTAGAGTCATAATAATTATCAACCAATAGAAATTAAATTTTTATTTAAAATATTATTAAAATTATAACGGTTACTGCTAGGATCTCCTCACTCACTCTTAGATTTAGGAGCTCCTAGAAGTTTTGTTGTCTTAGGAACATAATAGGGATCGTGTGATTGGAGATAAAATTTTCCAACATCTCCCCGTATTTTGGTGAGGAGATCATTTAGGTAGCCTCATTGGAGATGCTCGAAGATTTTTTTATGTTCAAAATTCGTGAATGGCAAGTTCGATGTAATAAATCATTGTATAAGAAATTATAATTAACATAGTTTGATGGTTGACGATGATTGTTAGAGTGAAGAAAGTTGCAAATGGATAATTATAGGGGAATGATATCAAAGAATTATTAGTGATGGGCCAAAAAGGGAAGGGGAGTCATGGTGCTCAAATGCCCTAGACATAAAGTGGGGCTAATAGTTCCATCCCTTAATTTAGATGCCCCCAAAAGAGGGTAGACATTAAAGGAAAATAGATCAAGTGAAGAGGGATAAGAAATGTTTAGTCATGAGTCTCAGGACTAGTTGTGGTGATATTTCACAAATCATGGTGGCATTGTCCCAACTTAGATGGGATGTAATGGGGGCACCACTAACATATCCAATGGCCTTATGATTTTGATTCGAGACCACCTTGAGGTAACCATCACTTTGTTCTCTCTCTTCACGTCCACACACATAAATGCACACCTATCCACGATATAGACTACTTGATAGACCAATTGTATATAAATATAGTTATATACAACTAGTAGTATAGTAATAAGAATTCTTAGAGGATGTTTTTTTTCAATCTCAAATGAAATGCAATATATAAATTCAAATGAATCAGACAAAAAGTACATATACATTCGGCATACTTATATCTGTAAATGATTGTAGCATTATTTGGTAATTAGTCAAGGACACCAATGGACTCTTAATACGTTGGAAGTCATTTTTTCTTACATGATGATGTGATATTGTTGTATGACATAAATGTCATAATTTGAACAATTAATTCTCTTAATTATGTATTAGCATATTTGTCGATTTGCCCCCTAAAGTTGTATGGAGCTGCCAGTTTTCTCATGAACTTTAATTTTAGAGGATTACCCTCTTTAACTTTTATAAATAGTCAATTTCCCCCTTGAACTTTAATTTTAGCCGATTACCTCCTGAACTTTTATAAATAGCCAATTTCCCTCGTGCGTTAGATTTTAAAAGTTTACATCCAATTTTCCATTCATCTTGATCATGGAGATAATACATGACAACCATATGAGAGCAAAAATGATGAAAAATTAGATGGATGAAAAATTGAATGAAAGTTTTTAAAATCTAATGCTAATGGAGAAATTGGCTATTTATAAAAGTTCAGGGAGTATTTAGCTAAAATAAAAGTTCAAGGGGGGAAATTAACTAATTTAAAAAGTTTAAAGGGTAATCGGCTAAAATTAAAGTCCATGAGAAAAATTAGCAGCTGCATACAATACAAGTTTAGAGGACAAATTAACAAATACCTCTTATGTATTAGAGGCATAAAAAGTCAAATATTATCTTTTAGTAAATAATTTTAGAACGGAAGAAATATGACGTGTGCTAAAGGAAAATCTAAGTTTTTTCCCTTATTTGGTTAACAAAATCTTTAATGAGATTAAACTTGGACAAGAAAAAGGTTTTGGACCTTTGGTCGCGATTAAAAAGGATGGGGATTCTTTTGTTTGAAAACAAAAAGGATGGGGATTCTCTCCTCTTCCTTTTCTCCTCCCTTTTCACAGGTTTTTTTTTTTTTTTTTTTAATTTTTTTTTTTTATCTCTCTACTTTTGACCTTTTTATCTTTATTTACAAAGATAAATTCTAAAGCGTCCAAGTAGGATTGGATTAAAAAAGAAAGGAGAGAATCTTTGTTCAATTAAAAATTGCCCCGTAAAATTCCTTTTTGGTTCCTTGATCACTGTTAGAATACTTAGTAAATAATTGGTTGGAGGGACCACTAATGTATAAAGTGATTTCGAAATCTCTTTCATGTGTGCGTGAGAGAGAGAGAGAGAGAGAGAGAGAGAAGACAAAGGATCTGGCAAGCAGAGTTGGGGGAGGGTGGTGGTGGCGAGGCTGAGGCAGGAGCTCTGCCCAACCGGCCGAACAGGATGGGCTGGAATCTGGATAGATGCAGATAGGTAAAAAAAAAAAAAAAGAAAAAGAAAAGAAAAGGCCTGGCAACAATTGAGCCCAAGTGGGTGGGGTTGTGTTTGCCAAACTGCCTCTGACATGTGTCTGATGCATCCAAGACACCTCTGGCCCAAGACACAGCCAAAGCTCCATATGCCACCCATCATCTACTCCGTGTACATTCATATGCAGAGAGAGAGAGAGAGAGAGAGAGAGAGCAGGGGCCCAACCCTCCTCACTCACCCCGACACCAAGTCACCACCTTTGCTCCCTTCATTTGTCTCGTTCTCTGTCTTTGCATCCAAAGATGCCTTTCAGTCCTAGGCCATATCACACTCACATTGACCTTTGCTCACCATCTGTCTATTATCCCACACACAAGTATTGGGCTTATAATTTGCTTGTGATTGTGACCTTACATCTCAATGAGATATCTTTAAATGTTATGCATGAACTTGATTAAGAGCTAGATTTGAGTGTCTTCGCTGAAAAGTATAGTGCATTTGACCTAAAATCAATTATCGATGATTTCTTTTTTTATTAAATAAACCGCAAAATCAATCCGACTTCAGCAATTAGTGATGATTATAAACTCACAATCTTTATATATTTGATGGAATAACTTTATTCTAAACATGCATGTATGGAGAGGCTCAAGGTTTGTACATTGGAAAGCAGAGCTTGACTCTTTAAGATTTGCATGGATGTTCAAATCTTGAACGTTTGAGTTTAGGTCGTTTCATGCTCACTTTTATAACTAAATGATCTATGTAGATACCCTTTTGAGATATATTCATCTTAGTGTCACTACGTAACCCTCATTGACTGTATTGTGGTGCTAGGGATGCTTTTGCAACTTCAGTAGTCTTCAAGAAAGATGTAAGAATCAACCCAATACTGAAATGAATTTGTTTATATATGTTGCTTTTTGGCAACCGCGTTTTATATTGCTTTACTTTTCATGTCCGTTTCAACTTTTAACCGTAAGGACTAGTTCTAAAAGTTGAAGGTGCAACTTGAATAGGGAGAACCCTATGCAGTTGAAGCACTAGCTAATAGTAGTCGGCAATTTGGTGAGCTAGCTCACTGGCATTAATTTGGCCCTGTTAATAACATACAGGTAGGGCAGCTAAATCCAACCATGATCAGCCTTAATTTAACTCTCTAAGCTTCTTGTACTTCCAAGCAAAGACTGCACCATCTTGCATATTATTTTTATTTAATCAGTCAGGAAGCATGTTTAAAAAGCATGATTTGTACGGGGTTAGTGCAATTCTTGCTCCATAATATATATGAAATTGAAAACTATGATAATCTCTGCAGCAATTGCCTGCCATTTGGTCTAACCAAGCATCACAACTTGTCTGCTGGCAAGCTAAATATCAAATTCCATATCCAACCTTACTTGTCAGATATTGTCTTAAGATTCATAACAGACTAACATAGATTAACATATAAATTAATGAGACAATTGGCAACAACTTGCATTAATTTAATTGTAAGGCCAACTGCAAAATGGTCTTCAAGGCCAAGTTATATTTGACATGTGAGGGTATGGTGATGATTACATTTGGTGATAAACCACTAATCTTTTTTTTTTTTCTTTAAATCTTTTTTCACCTCCAGCTACTTAATTAGCTTAACAACCTACTTGTCCTGCACTATTAGTCCTGGTTAATTATAAAAGACAGAGATGAGTTAGCACAGCTTGTACCATGTTTGCTTTAGCTTTTAGCTGTGGTTGCTCACGGCTTTAAACTGTATACCCACTTTTTGGTTGTGGAACAGTACAAGTCCTGTAAAGTTTAGTAGAATTTCTTGGGGAAGGAACCCTAGCTGTTAATCTTGGTGTTACTTAATTTTTATGGCCTGAACTTCGGTATTGTGTTTAGTTACCATAATTAGTGAGCTTTCGTATATAGTCTAGTCTTTACCTTCTTCGTGCCTAACCAATATTTTTATTTCATATATACATGAATGCTATAGCTCACTTTCGGTTTGTTTTGCTCACTCAATGTCGCTTTGCTCATCATGATTCTATGTTATTAGATGTCTGCAATCATCCCGCTGTTTACTTGTTTTTTTGGGAATTTTTATGATGCTCTAGAGTATCAGATATTTTTGATTTTTTAACTATTAAATCTTTAAACCAAGATTTAATAGTTAGAAAACCACATCCTATACTCCTAACCATCATATAATTTTTGTGTTTTTCCTTTTCAGTTTAAAAGCATGCATACCCTTTGTTTGACACATACGGTGTTGCAAGTTCTATTTATAACTAGGGAAATATGACTCCAACTCCAAGGAACGGTTTTAACCCTATTCATGTAGTTGGCTACAAAATATAGCAAGAGAAATGCTATACACATTCTTAATTTGTCATTCACCACTTCTTGTAGTGTAAGTACTTAAAAACAATTAAAATCTTGATAGTTTAAAGTGTGTCGAGATGACAAATGAAAGAGTGTGAATATCACACCAGTTACCAAAACATATAGTGAAATCAACTTCGTTGTTGCCGAGGGCTTTCTTGCTAGCGATATGTGACCTGAACTTAAGTTCAGCTGCAA